AATGATTTGTTTGACTGGAATCTGGATGTTTGACTCGATATGTGGGTCTATCTAATCCACTATTGCATGCCTTACACCATATCTCGAGGTTAGCGCTAATTTTAGAAAAGAGATTTCCGGACAGAGAAACCTTCGCTTAACTAAACAAGAGTTGAGAGAAAGAGAGTGAGGGATGGGATGAGAGAAGAGGATGCGAGAGAGGATAGGGAGAGGGGATAGGGAGAGAGGATAGGGAAAGGATAGGGAACGGCAGCAAACACTGCGCGGTGGGGCTGAAGATGTTTCAAGAAAGTCAATGAATACTGCGCTGTCAGTCAAGAGGTTTTGTCTTTAAAGTTGTTTGGAGTCGAGTCCAACGTATTGCTTGTAATTAGTTATGATATTTGCGATGAGTTTTAATTAATGAAATCATAGTTTTTGTTCAATTCATGTTTGCCAATAGACTGTGAGGTGAGACATATTTTGTGTTGATTTATATAGTAAACTGTGTTTAGCGGTTAAACTGCTGGTTCAGCTGTAACTGAAAATAGCGTATAATTCCTATACTTATTCTGTACTTATGTTTACAAGAATTCATTAATTTTCAATTCTGTATATATTTCGGTGTTTCCATTGGGAAAGACAACACAATAATAGAGTTCTTGCGCCACATTTAGCTCACCAGGAGTTTAGCGATTTGATTGTTAATAACTTTTCGTCGACTCATACAAGTGCTGTCATAGTATGGAAACCCAATTGCTCTCTCCATGACTTAAGTGGCAACTATTGAAATCAAATACAAACACAACATTGTTATCAGACAACAGGACTAACTCTCATAACACTTATCATTGGTTTGAGTTTTGTTGCCTTTCGTTCATATGTTATCGGTTTGAATGTTATGAATAACTGTTGGAATTAATATGATATATGTGGACGAGACTGAACCCGATGAAGGTATCCTGAAACACATGTACGATCACTTTCATAGCCTAATCACAAACCACTTTCCGAGTAGAAGCCGAACCGCCCTTTAAGCCCAGGAAAGTGGTCGTCAAAAGCAAAGAACCACAAAACGAGTACATTCTGGGAGAGGAGTTGGGCCGGTATGTCACCAATCAATCTGTCATTTCATTCACCAAGTTCACTAAAACCAACCTAGTCACTGTTGTATTCATTGCTTTACTATGCCCGTATTAGCTTGCTTTTTAATAATTATTCCTAGTAACTATTTTATTCTAGTAAGTTTACTTTATTTTTGTAAATTCTCAACTTCCATTTTCACAGTATAACAGTCATTATAACTTTTATTGTGGATTTACTGACAGTGTAGTTATTAGTGAACTATTTAATAAATAAGTGATAAGATTACAATTAGTAACTAAAAACAACTAAACAATGCATTTGTGTTGATAAGAGTTAACACTAATGTTGTGAATGGTGTGTAAAATAGAGGCAAATTCGGAATAGTGAGGCGATGTACGGAAAAGTCCACCAAAAAAAAATTGGCCGCCAAATTCATTATTATTAACCGCATCGATGACCGCCAAGAAGTGGAACGGGAGGTCGATATCATGCGATCTCTACAACACCCCCGACTCCTACAACTTTACGACGCTTTCGATGACGGAAAGACTCAGATGTGTCTTATATTGGAGTGGTCTGTATATCACAATATTTTTCTCATTATTGAATCAATTGAGTAAATCACTCATTGATTTGTGTATATATATTGAATGGTTTGACACTGAAATGGTGTTATCGTCTAATTGTATGATAGCATCGAAGGGGGAGAACTGTTTGAAAGAGTGATTGACGACGACTTTGTCTTAACGGAGAAGGCGTGCACTATATTCATGAGACAGATCTGTGAAGGGGTTGAATACATTCACTCGCAATCTATTCTTCATCTCGATATGAAGGTATGCATCAGTCTATTGTCACTAATATACTACAATAGTATCCATACGAAACACTTAACACTTTATCATAATTTGTGATTCATTCATAAAATTATAATTTATTCTATGTTTGAATATGTTATCAGAATAGTGTTATTCAAACAAATTATGAAATAGTTTTATGATTAAACTGCGATCGGCTTTTATAATAACATTCAAATGTCTGAGTATTTCATAACAAAAGACAAATAAGCAATAAATCAATTTACTTATAATTGAAATAAATTCAAAACGTTTGATTGAGTTGATTGAGTGCACTCACCCTTCAATTCAAATGCATATTCGTCTGGCTTTTTGCCTAAATTCTTGTCAAATATTGTAATGAATGTTATTTAATATTCATCATTAATATGCATATATTTATACTTTATATCATATTTACATTTAAGTTATTCTTCCCAAAAGTGTAGATAATATAACAACTTTGAAATATTTTCACATTTTTTGAGAGACTTCAGTGAAAGTTTTCAACGAAAAATGCTATTGTAATTAGGATTATGAGAATATTCTGTTTGAAAATTTGTTAGAATTTTCAGCTAAAATTTGTCAAGGTCAAAAATTTCTGAAACAATTTCACACCATTTTCTCATATTTTCTATTTCTAACTCATAGACACAATCAATGCTAATTCTTATATATTAAAATATATTCATAATATCGTAGTTGACATTCAATTGAGCTTTTAAATTATTTTCATTTAACTTAGATAGATTGTAATTTACAAATTGTTATCAAGTGTAGTTAATTCTATGTAATAAAGATCTGAATATTNTTAAAATTGTTATTTTATATTCTATAAATATTTATCTATAAATAAAGTATAATAATTTTAATAATAACTTTTATCATAATATTATTGTGATACTTAATACTTGACTATATTAACTAATAACACTTGATCAATTATCAATAATACCTATAATGTATATTAAATTATTATTATTAAATATAAAATATTAAAATATTTATAGTGCATAGAAATCTCTATTTAAAAATTTAAAATATTCTTTAGTGTTGATAATTATAAGATTAAGAGTAATGTCTTTTGTATACAATTAAAAAACAAAATACATTAATGTGAAAATGTCTTAACTTATAAGGAATTACATAGAATTAACTACACTTTATAACAATTTGTAAATTACAATCTATCTAAGTTAAATGAAAATAATTTAAAAGCTCAATTGAATGTCAACTACGATATTATGAATATATTTTAATATATAAGAATTTGCATTGATTGTGTCTATGAGTTAGAAATAGAAAATATGAGAAAATGGTGTGAAATTGTTAAAAAAACTATATCACATTGACCTTGACAAATTTCAGCTGAAAATTCTAACAAATTTTGAAACAGAATATTCTCATAATCCTAATTACAATAGCATTTTTCGTTGAAAACTTTCACTGAAGTCTCACAAAAAATGTGAAAATATTTAAAAGTTGTTATATTATCTACACTTTTAGGAAGAATAACTTAAATGTAAATATGATATAAAGTATAAATATATGCATATTAATGATGAATATTAAATAACATTCATTACAATATTTGACAAGAATTTAGGCAAAAAGCCAGACGAATATGCATTT